AGGACAGGAGAAAGGGATAAGGTCCGGATGGTGGCTAGTGTCGGTGGCAGATACCCAGTTTTCTGCTTCAGTCTCAGAAGCTAAACTCCACTTTGGAAAAGCCATTAGTCATCTTTTCTAGCCCTCAGGATTTAGCAAGGTGGGTGGTCATAGATTTTTTTGTGCCATGACAAGCCCAAAGAATGTGGGGAGTTTGTGAGCTTTGGATTAGAGATGGGGGAACTGAAACTGGAATGGTGATGAACCACTTCTTCCAAGAACCTGGGAACTTAGACTCCCAAGGTATTTAGAGCTGGGGTCTAAGAATCAGTCTAAAACCTCTTGCCCGTTGTCCCTGGCTCAGGACCCAGCCTGGTTGTCTCTAGTCTCCCCTTCACTTGAATACTTCTGTTGAACAAGGGGGGCTCACCACTCAGCCAGCTGGGTGTTAGTTTATAGCATCAGGCAGTTAGCTGATGAGTTGGAACTGATATTCCAGCTTCTGAAGTTTGATTCCTCTTAAGGAAATGAGGTCACCTCTCTGCCAAGGATTCACAGGGCAGTTTCATTTCTCTTGGGACTGACTGCTATGTGTTTGCCTGGAGGCAGGAGAATGGCATGTTTGTGTGTAAGACTTTCTCAAATGCTTTGTAGCTGCAGCCTAGATGATTCTGGGATTCTTAGCTGGTCACTGAGGGCTTCTGTGGGTGAGGACTTGTAATGCCTAATACCTTTATTTGAGCCTAGAGGTTCAAGGCTGCACTGAACGGATTGTACCAATGTACTCCAATCTGGGTGACTAAGTGCTATCCTGTGTCTTAAGAAAAGCAGGAGGAACCCCCTGACTGGGGCTAAGGTGGACTTTAACACCGTACATCTCTCTAGGACACCATGTCCTGTCATGTCAGAGGTGTCCCGGCAGACTGGAGGGAGTGGGGCTGTATAGATCCAGGAGGGAGGGGGAGAGAATGTGAGGGGCTTTTGCTGTCAGGCCAGCTGTAAAGAAGCAGGGAGGCCAAATGAGGAGCTGTGATCAACTGCGACTACTTGCCTTGTCTGAACATGGACACAACCAGGTCTACACCTCACAGGGTTGTTAGGGGACAAGATGATGTGGTGCCTGTTGCTTGGTGAGTGCTTTTAAATGTTAGTACCAGAAGCAGAGAAGGTGAAAGGCCCCAGGTTTGGGAGGAATGTCTTTTTTCCCTTAATGTGGGGTTCTTCCTCTTTTTTTTTTAGACTCCCAGGTTGGAGTACAGTGGTGAAATCATAGTTCATGGCAGCCTTGAACTCCTATGCGCAAGCAATCCTCCTGATATACCTTCCTGAGTAGCTGGAACTACAGGGGTGCACCGAGCTAATTTTTAAAACTTTTATAGAGAGTCTCCATATGGTGCCCAGGGTGGTCTCAAACTCCTGGCCTCAAGAGTGTCCTAGTTTTTTTTTG